AGACAGCCAGGTCTTTGTGCTGCGCAAAAGGAACTCTGAGCTTTTTGTAAAGCTCCTAAACAAAGTTGTTGTTGCATTTATGTAAGCCTGAAAATTTCCAGTTGACTTATGAGCCGTTTAGGAAGAGGATTATATAAGAAGCCAAAAATAAGAAGTTCCAGATGTGAATAAGAAATATACAAACTGGTCTACTCAAAGACATAGATATTAAGTTTAAAAATTTGGGTTTTGGAGCGTGACCCGAATCAGTAAACTTTCGCTCTCAAAAAAGGTAACAACATTAAAGTGTTATAAATATTAGAAATTTTAAAATTCTCTCAGGAAACACATGTCAATGGTGGCTTGCTTTTTGTCACGTTCGCTGCATTTGCTTTATCAGATTACTGTTTACTACTGTGACTGCAAAAAAATGTTTTTGAACAAGTTTAAAGGAATAATTCTTTTGTATTGAAACCGGTTCGTTTTTAAAAAGGTAAAACTATGAAATACTGTAGGTAAAACAGAAAATCGGTAGTGTTTTTGCGGGGAATTTTTTATGATTTTTGATAGCTGCAAAGTTTTTTTGAATTTATATAAAAGCAAGTGATGTCAAAACCTAGATATTTCTCAGGCTAATATTGTCATCAGTTTCTGTTCCTCCATATTTAACCCTCTTCACCTCTGCAAGCGATATGTCGACTAAAAAAGTAGCTAGAAGGGCTTAAAAAGGGACCCGGTATCGTTTGTCTAGTGCAGCAGGGTTCACTGTTGTACTGAAATTGATTCCTCCGCTTTTCCGGGGAAGTAAGTTAAGGACATCGGCAATCTTTGGTACAGGCAGAACTGGTCAAACGGAAGTTAAGAAGCAAACACAGCAGTCAAAAAGCAAACGGGTGGAGTGTTATCGTAGGGGACGGAAAAATACTGAAAACTGTTTTCAACCTTCTTGTCTCAAGTCTTATCAGGAGGACGATTGCATCGGTTGATTCAGTATCTTCATTAGAGTAAATTTTCTACTTCGACACTTTTGTTGTAGGTTTGTTATCTTGCAAATTAGTACTGCTGTTTGTTTCTCTTCTAATTGGTATCAGGTGTGACTTGGGGAAGAGGGATTCTTAGTTTAGATGACAGGTGAATGATGTTTGTTACAGATGATCCCTTAGCAGTTTACTTATAACTTCTTGGGTTTGTCAATGCAGAATTCAGCAACGACCTTAACTCTTGTTCATTAAATAATCAACAGCATGCTTCATTGATTTAGAAAAAACTGTAATTGTGCTAAAGATCTGTACCATTATCTTGATATGCGTTTATGTAAGATAAATCGCCAGATTTGATCGCCAGATTCTTTAATTTTTTTGCTAGTCACAAAGTTCGGCATTGGTTGTGGAGTAAAATTTTTAGTTGACAAAAATACATTTCAGAAAGTACATCTATACTATTTGCTTAACCAGAATTAATGGAGCAGTGGCCTTTTTTTGGCTGTTGTTACACAACTGTACCGGGAAAAACAGTAATGCCTTCACCGAAACGCCTTGCCCACCAACGGTTTGTTATTTGCTACATTTTGGCAATAAAAGAGTGGAATGTTGAATAAAAGCGTTACTTGCTTTTCTCTTGTTTATTTGTTTTTTTGAAACTGTATTTGCTTGGAAAATGTGCATTTTGTGGACGATAATCGGTAGTAAATGTGTATAAAGCGGTTAGAATTTTAGAAACTTTTTTTTTGTATTAATCACTTAAGAAGAGTATTTTTTTTTAACTGAAATGGATATTGAAGACATAGCCGTTTCGCCGCAGCGTATCAAAGTTATCCGTATGTCTTCCACCGGTTCGCAGTGTTTCTTTGAGAATCCTTAATATTATATGCACTAATCACTGTCAAGTAGAAATACAGCTAGCAAACAGCAATTGATTAAGTTGTGTTTTGAATAATTGAACTTTTTCCATCAACTTTTTAATTTTTTTATTAGAGTCAGATCATTTGTTTAACAACTGCATAGCAGATTAGAGTTGACATGAACTAACATCTATTTGCGAAAAATGACATAAATACAGTGCCCGTTTACTTTTGGAACCAACTTTATACGTTTACTCGGTACTCATGAGCACTGTTTCGAACTGCGTTGTTCATAAACACCTTTCAAACAAACTGTGCATTTCTGAAAGTTATTTATGCAAACTTTATATTTAATTTTATGAACAATGCTCTCTTACACGCTAATTCTAATATACACTTTTCTATATTTTTAATGAAAATATTGCTTGCTTTCATCTTCCAGATATATATCAAACAGGTTTCGCATTTTTCTCGGTTGACTGTAAACATTTATTTACTCCTTTTTAGCAAAGCGGATATTAATTTAATATGTCGTTATTATAGTTTTTGCGGGGATAAAGGGCTTGTTATAAGTTTTACACACTAGTTAACAGTTGATTTTACTTGTTTTGCTAAGTATAAATGATAGCTCTAAATCAGCAGTGGTTACTGATTCTTATAACCTTCGAGACATTGTCGCCCGACTGCCTTCGTGTCAGTGGATACTTACAGAGGAAAGGAGTAACGAGCTATAGAACTACTCTAAGAAAAAACATTGATGACAATTAAGAAACTTACTTTTCTGATGACTAATATTGCAACCTTTCAATTTAAAATTATAATTCTGTCTACTCTACGTGATTCCTTCTCAACAAAATTATTTTCCTTCTGAAAGATTGAATTTGTTGATGTTGGTTTTTGCCACTGATGTCTGCCTTTTTTAATCTCTATTACATCTATAAAAACCTTGACATCTATAAAACACCTATATGTATATAGATACTGAATTGTTTTATTGAACGCCTGCGAATTGTCCGTTTGTTGCTTCACTTTCTCGGCGTGCGTAAGTAATATGGGACCGCCTCTAAACTTACCTTTTTGCGTCTGGAATGCTGAGCATTTACGAGAGAATAGTTTGCGAAGCTGTTTGGTAGTTGCCATTTTTGTTTTTTTTTT